TTGGACACACCTGTAATTCCAACGTTCTGGGTGGCTGAGGCACAAGGATTGTAAGTTCCAGCCTAGTGTGTGGAAGTTAGCGGCTTAATAAGACTCTGTCAAAAAGAATTTTTTTTGAAGTCTGGGGGTGTAGCTCACGTTGAAGACCCTGGATTCAATCTCCAGCACGAACAAAAAAAATATTTAGGATAAAATTTGCACTACCTTTTGAAAGGTAATTCAGAAGAAATTCTATTGTTGCAACTGTGCTTTCTCTCAGTTCAGTTCAGAGTCAAAGCATGGCGGGAAATCTGTGCATTCAAATATTCTGGTCTCCATTTTTAAATACTTTATCTATTGCCTGAAAGTACAAACATCTCAACAATAGATTGGTTACCCTTTTCCTAAATTCTTGTATTTCAGTGGTATTTGACTCAAAATACTCTGCCTTCCTTACCTGTTCCTTAGCAATAACAAAGATTTTGCCCCTGATAGAGCTGAAACAAAGATTTTGCCCCTGATAGAGTTGAGGGCTGTTATATATAATTTCATCATTAAATTGTGATTAGGGCTTGTCTGAGGCCTAATATCTTGCCATGAGAGCTGGTTGTGGCATGCAGAAACATAATATAGTGTACCTCTGGTCACAATTGAGGCCTCAACTTCCTGTGATGCTGTGGTGCCCCAGGGCAGGATTATATTAGCTGAAGACATCCTAGTTCCTTGAGAAATGAGTAATAGAAATAATGTTTCACCTTGGGGAAAGGACACACTCCTTATAAACCTATCATCTCTCCCTCCATCCTCATCAATACAAAAACCCTCATTAGCATAAGATTGCTGCTGCCCTCTAAATCCTCTGAAGTCACTCTCATCAATATTAAGACTTTCTCAGCAAAAGATCATAGCAGTGGCCCTCTGAGTCATTCGATAATCCTTCTGATTACTGTGTACACTCTATAAATGGTGGCTAGGCCAGAGTGTCATTGTCTCTGCTCACCCTGAGGCACTGACCTCCCAATCCACCTCCAACCCCCATGTACTTTTTTTTTTTTTGGTTTTTTTTTTTGGTTTTTGGTTTTTGTCCGGTACCAGGAACCGAACTCACGACCTTGCGCTTGCCAGGCAGGCGCTTTGCCGCTGAGCTAAATCCCCAGCCCCTTGTCTCTTTTCTTTATGCCTTGCCGCACCCCGCTCTAGGCAGATTAGGGGACTGATTTGCCCCCATTAGAGATTTTTTTTTTTTGTTTCTTACACATCAATCAGTTATTCTAATAAAATCATAAATTAGAGCTCACTCCTAGCCACTAACTACTGTCCCATCCATTATAGACTTCCGATCAATTGAAAACAAACACTAACTATGAAAAAGCCAGAGACAGTTTCAAGTGCTGCTTCATAAAGGGCCAAAAGCCATGGTTTTCTTCTTTTCCCCTGTAATAATTTCTCCCCTCTCACTGTTAGTCTAATTCTGACAAGTGAGCAAGGAACAGGCAAGGCATTTGTTCCGAAAGAGGTTGAGGAGCCAAGACAAACTCATGGAAGCTGAGTCTTATTATCCTTTCTCTAATTGGACATCTTAATTGCTACGGTAGCCCAGAACTTCATCTATGCTCCAACTGTTCCCAAGGTCCCTCCTAGATTAACTCCCATCTACCTTTAATGTCCGTTGATTGGGAAAATTGGAGTGTATTACCTTGCTGAAGTCATAGAAGCATTCATAATCTACAAGGAATGGCAATCGTTTGATACAAGGCATGTGGAATCATAGCAAGAGTATGGACTCCTGAGTCAAGAGTCCTGTTCCCAACCAATCTGGTGATCTTGGACAAAGTTTTTTCTTTTTCTCTTAATTTCCTCATATGTGAAATGGGCTTTTTCTGAGGCTTGAAAGATAAGGTGTTGCCAAATTACTTTGAAAGTCAGATTTTTGTAAGTCATAACACATTTATTTTTTGTTTGTTTGTTTGTTTGTTTGTTTTTGGTTTTTTTCTGGTACTGGGAACCCAACTCACAACCTTGCGCTTGCCAGGCAGGCGCTTTGCCGCTGAGCTAAATCCCCAGCCCCAGTCATAACACATTTAAAATAAACGATACCACCTTTAAAAGCATGTTGATATACTGTGAGATAAGGATTCTTAGAGAAAGTTGATGGTGGGAAAAGAGAGAAATATTAGTTTTAAGACCCTAAAGGCCATTCTTAAACTATTTCTCACATATTCCCATACACACTTTCCACTTCCCCCCACAACAATACTCACAAACCTTGTGAAGCCCTTTATTTTCAACCAGGATCCCATTTTACTTTTCGTCTCCATTTTTTTTTTTTTCTTTTTTTTGGTTTTTTTCTGGTACCTGGAATCAAACTCACAACCTCACGCTTGCCAGGCAGGTGCTGTGCCACTGAGCTAAATCCCCAGCCCCTCCATATTTTCTTCATACCCATTCCATTCATTAATCTGCAGGTAACTTAGCCCAAACTCAGCCCAGGCTTTTGCTTTGTAACTTACTGTGTAGCCTTGACTAAGCCATTTTTTTTTTCTGAGTTGTTCTTTCTTGTAAAAGAGGATGAACCTCCTTGCCTCCCTGCATGGTAGTTGTGAGAACGAGAGAATGGACTACACATGTAGCTCTCAGCATAGTACATGTACATGTCAGACACTTCCTTGGGTTTCCTCCTTTCACTCATCTCTTATAGGAAATGATGGGGCCAGTTCTTGGCTCTGGACCCACAGCTATGGAGACCAACAAATATAGTGGTGTTTAAATGCCACCTAGTGTTATTGTAAGACTGGAACATTCACTATTACCTGAAAGAAATGTTAGGCTAGGTGATTTCCTGGGCCTGAAAGTTATGAGTTAGAGCCAAAGAAGAGAAAGGCTTCAATTTCTTCCTCGGAGAACATTTAAATTGTGTGAACATCCAGAATAACCTGTGATTCATCCCCCACAACTTGGCCATTAGCTAATTCACCACACATTAAGTCTTCACAATAAACCTTTCGGGGTGGAGCTTACTAGTTCCATTTTTTCGGATGAGGAAGCTGAATTTCCACATAAATTGAAGTGCCATCAGAAAGAATTCTGACTCATCTTTACTTTGGAGTGAGTCAAACTCCTTCGTCCAAAGCTTAGTTCTCTGGGCCTGCCCATGATTTTGGAATAACTAACCTCTTCTCATCTCCTGTAGTCATTGTCCACTTTGCTTTCACCATCACCTCCCTAAGATATTTTCCACCTTTATCACTCCTGTGCTTGGAAAATTATTTTATTTTAGGGGTGAGGGGTAGCTTGGCGGTAACATGCATATTTAGCATACAGAAGGCCTTGGTTCAATTCTCAACACCCCCCAAATTATTTTAATATAATTCTACATTACTTAGAACCTAGAAAAATGAAGGAAAATTTGGTAATGGGCAGGGAAAGATAAGGGCCTTGGTGAGGTTTCTGGCAAAGACTTACTGCAAGGAGTTAAACCGCTGCTAAAGACAGCAATTAAGAGAAGCAGGGAGAACTGACAATGAACTTGGACATCCTTGGTGCCAGGGCTCCAACTTGCTCCTCTCCATCTCTAGTTCAGTACAAAAGAGACAAAGTGGGGAGGAGGCTATAGTGTAGAAAACTCTCCTAGTATATAAAACATATACTCATACCTGGACACTTCCATATATATAGTATTATACTCTCACCATGTTACTGCACTAAAATGTATACACCTTTACTAATTGCTAACCTGGCCTTGAATAAATCTCAGAGATATCATCTGACAAAAATAAAAGGAGCTTACCCAAGAATTTGCACATAGTCAACAGAGAGAGTCAGTGGCCAATTCAGAGATCTGAGAGTCTAAAATATCCAATCAATTTATAACAACTCCCAAAGGGGAGAGTCTTTTTCCTGCCATGTAATAAAAGGAGCTAAGAACAAAGACACTCCAGCACCTGCTCTGGGGTCTCTACTCTGACAATGTAGCTGTCTATCTTCTCATTTCTCTCCTCTTTCCAGTAAAGTTATTTTGTTTCTCCTTCTAAATTTATATCTCTAATTTTTTATTCATATGAAGTTTACAAACCCCGGATAAATCTAGCTTCACTTCAGACATGTCATAACCACTTAGTAAAAATGTGTATTGGATGTGCGTGAACACAGGGTTAAGTTTAAATTCTTTTTTTTTTTTTTTTTTTTTTTTTTTTTTTTTTT